CAAAAGGACGATGCTCTAGAGTTAAATACTGCTACGGGAATTACCACCACACATGGTTTTTCACTACTGAGACTACAAGCAAATTTAATCAGCATCGATGCATTTCTAATTGGTTTAAATAAACAATGTAACACTGATAAATTAAAAAATGGGTTTGGTCTTGGGTTTTGTTTTGTTTTTCTAAATCACTTCAATCTTCAGTTGTAGTTGAAAATGAAGCAATAAAGCTCCTTAAAATCTTAAAAGCCACAAACAACATGACAGTGAGCTTGGTAAAAACTCAACTTTGGACTCGTTTTCCATGCAAAGATGGAATCTGGCTGTAAATTAGTCCTAGCGTGTGCATTACCTTTTCAAATCAACTGGTTCAAAAGTAAGCCCAAAGCCTCAATTAACAACATCTTTAAAGTTCTGCTGTCATTGGCCAATCTTTTATTCACACATAAAATATAAACAAAAACAAAAACTTCTTGGTAAGGAGTGAGGTTCCAATTCAGTATGAAGAGATATCTACTCATACTGCACCCTAAGCCACAATTAACAGAAAGAGGAACAGATTGATTTCATTTGGAATACTAGCTAAAGCTAGACTACTAATCAAATTTTAGATTCTATCCAATTTTTGACATCCAACAATTACAAAAACCAAATGGTGTGTATTTATGCTACAGGACTGATTAATCTATTGCATTTATTTTCACTTCAAAGCTCTCACTTTTTTCCTTAAACCAAAAACCAAGTGCACCACTAAAAGATAGCTTTTAGCCAAGTAGAGGAAGAAAACAAATCACAAAGTTTTAGGTAGTTTCCAGCAGGGAGAGGCAAATGTCATAGCAAGTTTGAAAGGAGAGAGAAAAAAAAGATAAAATAAATAAAATCATTTTACACCATTTTTTTTACTGAAAACAGTAGTGTAATTTCTCATAGAAGTAAAGCTATGGCTCCATAGTGTAGCTTCTTTTGGCATTAGCCCAACAAGCAAAAGATCCCTGGTTCAATCCTGGGAGGACACTGATTGGTCAACTCAGAACAAGTGGTATTTTTGAAAAGTGAAAATAATCTATCCCCTGCTCTTTCAGATATCACCATCAACAGCTTAAAATCTATCATACAGGCAAACACTAATGCAACACGATCAAAGCTGTCAGTGAGATTCTACACCACAACAAAAAGGCTAATAGTGGTTGACTCGGTGAGGATACAAACATGACTGTTCGCTCAAAACAAAAGAAAGCAGAAAGGAGGCTTTACCTGTGGGTGCCGGCTGCTGGTAAAGGTGTACTGGACAGATTGTGATGGGTATCGGCTCTGCTCATTGCTGAAGCTCCCCTGACTCGGGGGGTAGCCCGAGCTACTGGACATCCTGGCTCAGTGCTAGCGGGCTGTAGCTGCTTCACGGAATGCAGAGTTTAGCTAGACCATGTTGGGAGACACGAACCACCTGCACCAGACAGAAACATACATGCACTTTTCAAAGAGTCAAATTTAAGACATGAATGTATATATTTTTTTAAAAGTATTTTTTTGTACTTAAAAAAACCTAATCAAGTCATCATATAAGCTGAAAATATTTAAGTGCATGATAAAAATATTTTTCAAGAACCCTGCAAAAATTACGCAAACCACAACTGGAAATGAGCAACACAAACACATAGGCACTAGGGAACAGACCAGTCCCAATGTGATCAGGCTGGTTAAGACGTATTTATATGAACAACAAAGTATCTGTGAGGAGAATTTTGGCTTTGATCAAAACTCACCTCATTCCCAGTGTAAGTAATGAAGTTAACATACCCCAAAATAAAATAATTATAACACTAACATTATTATTTATAATTCCATGAACCTGATTCATGACTGTTTGTATTAAACTAAACCTTTTGTTTTAGACTGTGTAATGTGTAGGGAGCTCAAACATACAAAAATGCACCCAGATTCAAAAGCACCAACAAAAAAGACCACCAATATTTAGATATTTTTTAGATTTATTTTAAAGAAGAAAAAAAAAGACTTTCACACCTCCGGCCAATTGCCAATTAATGTTTTTGGACTCTTAGAGTACCCGAAGTGAACCCACACAGGTAAGGGCAGAACAAGACTCCAACCCAGAACCCTGTTGCTGTGAGGAGAGTGCTAGCCATGACTCCACCATGCTGCTCTATATTTGAGATTAATAACCTAAATCTGCAAAATATTTAGTAACTTAAGCTTTAAAATAAATATAGACTCAGCCTTGCTGTAGGCATCACTGTTAAAAAAAAAAAGAGAGAGGTGGAGGGTGGTAAACAGGTGGTTTAATGAAGGAATTTTATTGACATTTTATCGTGAAAATACTGACTATAGGGGAAAGAAAACTACTGTGAGGGTCTATTTCAGCTACTTTGAGTCACAGGTGTATTCATACTATTCGGTTACACTGAAATCAGATTATAACATCTGGATAAACGGATTGCAGAAAACCAGCATTTAAATGTCAATTTATTTCTACAATTTATTTTTAAAACTGTGAAGACATTTTCTACACGTGGCACAAGATTCATAGATTTTTAATCAATATATTATTATGGTTTCTATCTTCTGTACAAACAATCTACTGTGTATTGAAGGCTATTTCCCTTTACATGGGAACAGTTTCTCAGATTTTAACAAACTTCTGTTCAGAGGTGGTTTAAACTTTCTATTCATGTTGTTTCATGTTCTTCTGTCAGAATAGCGTCCCATAACTGTACCCACGATGAACAACTTAGCCACTGCATTTAAACAAAACTGGATTCAGATGAAAATTAGTGAGTTTGTCTTGGCTGCGCAGAATCCTGTCACCCTCAATTAGTCAAGCATCGTACAAAGAACAAGAGCCAGGACCGAGCCAGGGTGCATTGTCTTCTCTCTAATAACAAATCATAGAGCCCAGATACTCCAGTGCGTTCCAAATGAACTAATGCACAAAGTTTTGTATTTTGACTAAATATTTATGGATAAAAACAACACATACCAACAATAGGCCTGTAAGACACAAGGAAAATCTGCCATGTGTGACAACAGTGCCAATATCATAGATTACACGATATGACTCGCCATAAGCAAGTACAAGCGTGTTTAATATTCTACAGATACAGGCAATAAATAGGTACACTGCTAACAAAACTCCAAATAATGTATGACTGATAGAAATTTTAAGCCATTTCTGAATGTGCTTTTCCTGAAAATTTGAAGTGTTTGCATGCAGAGTATGAATATATAGTGCATGTACAAAAAATAAAAAATGATGGCCTAATAGTGCAGGATCCTCTTGCAGTAATAATGACAGCACTATTCAGCAGTCAGCACTATACTGATGAACTAAAACTAATTTAGTCTGCATGCTAGTTTACTGCAAACCGTTATAACCGTTACCGGTCACTAAAGTTGAAGAGATGTTACTTTATGGGGCGATCATGGCTCAAGAGTTGGGCGTTCGCCTTGTAATCGGAAGGTTGCCGGCTCGAGCCCTGGCTTGGACAGTCTTGGTCGTTGTGTCCTTGGGCAAGACACTTCACCCGTTGCCTACTGGTGGTGGTCAGAGGGCCCGGTGGCGCCAGTGTCTGGCAGCCTCGCCTCTGTCAGTGCGCCCCAGGGTGCCTTCACACATCACCAGTGTGTGGATGACTGGATGTGTAAAGCGCTTTGGGGTCCTTAGGGACTAGTAAAGCGCTATACAAATACTTACCATTTACCCTTCAATCCCTGGCCAAGATCTACTTTAATAATTAGAAAAAGACTACAAACAACAAAATAACTTGTAACTACCCAACTGGTGATTGCTGGTGGGGTATTTTTTTTTTAATAAAAACAAATAAAAAAATAACTTTCATGGCTCCCTTTGTAAACCCTAAATGCAGTGACAAATGTGTTCATCATCATCATCTCCACAAAACCAGCACCAGACAGTCTGTGAATGTGGTTCTTAAATCTATAAAAGGCTCAACCTCATTTTCAACAGCACCTTATGGCTTTGAGCCAAATTCAGGTAGAACAAATCAGCTCAGCAATTACAGGTCAAAATGTTTGGCGGTAAATGAAATAAGAGAAACTGCTAAAACAGTTCCCAGCAGCCCCACAGCTGCCTGAAGTATTACCATTTTATTGTTCTGAAAAAACCGAATCGCAGCATGTGGCGATGACCTTCTATTTACAAGCATAGCTGACACACAAACCAAACCTGGAAAGTATTTTGTTAAAGTCGCAAGGATGAAGCTAGGGAAGTCATATACTTCTAAATATAATTCAAAATAATTTAAAAATATTAACACGTGTCCTCTCAATAAGAAACAGCTAACCTCCTAGGCTCCAGAATGCATTGTCTCTTACAGTGCTTCATTCAGGGCATTAAATCACTTAAACCTTTCTTAACACGATGTTTTCTAAAAGCAGAGCATAATAATAATGACATAGGTATGCTTAGCATTACAATCTGGAACTCTACTTCTTAGGGGCCTGACTATAGCCTCGTTCTCAGTTGTAGTGTATGTTAGTGTAACTTGCAAACAAACCCATGATGGGAGTCATTTCTTGGATCTCTCGCACTTTAAAATAATGTAATATGGCAGCTAAACGAAAATGATGCTCCTGTGTGTTCTCAGTGTCTTAATTGTAATATTCGACCGGATTGGGGTCGTTACGTCTGCAGAATTTAAAAAAAAAAATCCTACTTTCATCAGTTTTCTTCGTATCGCGGTAAAGTTCTAGGTAAAGTTAGCAAGTAAATTATTTACAGTGGTCCCTCTGATAATTTCCACACTAACCCAGCAGCTGTGGTGACCTCCCTGGCCTCAGCTACAGGCATGCATGGTGAAATAATGCTGTTGTACGTTGTTATTGTTGTCTTTTAACGCCACACTGTCATATAAACGCAACTGAATTTGTATCTTATCTTGATCGGCGGAATGGGGTTATTTCTACAGCAGAGAGCATCCCCGGAAATGCGCCAAAATCGTGCACGACAATAAAGGTCCATTTTTAAATATGCGGTACTTTAACGCTTTAGCTTAGTGTCGTGGCGTTTAAGATATTGCTGTTGTTGTCGCTAGCTTGCTAAGTTAGCCGTATTTCACCTTTGAAATCTCAACCACGTCGCCATCTTGCAAGGCAGATTTTCAGCGTAGACCGGGGCGCTTAAATAGCGTGCTAATTAGACATGTTGATGTGCTGCATGGTAACTATTTTTACTTACCTCATTATAAGAAAATATATCGATGGCAGAGAAAGGGTTCCCTGTGCAGAAATATGTGGCAATAGTTGATTGTAAATCCGCGGGTTATGGGCTGTGGACGACTGTGCAGTCTGAAGGCTGCGCCGCATTTGTCGGTTGATGTCCTGGCAGAGTAAAAAAGATTCCCCTTATTATTAATGAATCCCCAGGGTATATCTAGTCCTTAAAATATATGTATATACGAATAAAACTAGACTCTGCAGAAAACAGAGCAAGTGGCTGCCAAATGCCATTTTTTGCGAGGAAATTTAAAATATTATTTTGGAGTTTTATATATCTGCAAGGACAATGTAATGGTGTGACAACTAAATCTTCCCCTCAAACACGGTAATGTTCTCAGTGTTTTTTTCTTTATTTCACTTTTCAGAAACGATTATTTCTCTCGATTTATACAACGATATAAACGTGTTCCTTCTTATATTTATTCAGACAAGACAGAAAAGTATTCTGTCTTGCGTTCTCATTATATATCTATTTAAAGTGAAACGAAAATAAAAGTCACCGAGACTGCAATTAGTACAAAAAATATGGCAATCGTGGGAATAAACATGTGAACCCATGCTTGTTGAATTGAGTTATACTTCCAGTTGCTGCGTTAATTAATAAATGCCTAACGTTAGTAACAGTTAAAAGACTGCGCGAGGGGTGTTGTTTTAGGGGGGGTTACACATGGAACCATTTACACTTCAGGCTTTTGTTTTTACACGGATTTTATGCGGTAACGGTCAAAATAATGACTTTGTACTTGGCTGTCATCATAATTTTGTCCTATTTGGCTTTGATAAAATGCATTTTTTTTCGACATCGGCGGACTTTGGTGAAGTCGTTGAAGCGTGCATTGAATGCTCCATCAAGCAGAGAAACAAACGGCGAGGATATCAGAGCTCTGGTCGTAACTGCGCATCCGGATGACGAGTGTATGTTCTTCGCGCCAACGATCATACGACTCATTGAATTAAATGCCACCGTACATTTGCTCTGTTTGTCTGAAGGTACGGTGACAGCACACTCATATTTGCATACTCAAGAAAAAAAACAATATAAAGATACAGAAAATTAAAATGAAAAGTGGTCCTACCTGCTAATCGGATAGAACCATATATTTATATATAGACCAATTAAAGACTTGTACCCACTTTTTGTTTGTTTGTTTGTTTGTTTGTTTGTTTTACTGTCAGTTAGGGTCACACTAGCTTTTCTCCTCTGCTCCCTGTTGTTCTTATTTGTCACCACACCTCAAATCCAACATAAATGTATGCACACAGAGCAGATTCAGGCAGAGGAGAAATGAGTGAACAAACCGTAACTTCAACCACATTTAATGATTTATCCATCCCGTTTGAGTGCATGCAATGCTCTGCAGACATACAGGAGCTCCTTAATTTTCCAGCAGTTATTACACCACAAGAGTACCAAGTGCTCATGCATCTTTCAGGAGTACAACACCAATTCCTAAAAAGTTAAAATGCTGTGTAAAAAGTTAGAACACAATTCAGTGATTTGCTAAGCTCAAAACCATATTTTACGCATAATAGAACATAGAAAACATATCAGATGTTTAAGCTGAGAAAATATGCACGTAAAAAAATCACTTTGAATATGACAGCAGTAAGACTTCTCAATAAAAGTGGGACAGGGCAATGTTTATTACTATACACCATCCCCTCTTTTTCTTTTAACAACAAGCAGTAATCACAGTAACTTTCCAAGTTTCCTTAGTCCATTTTAAATCAGCTTTGGTCCAGAGAAGACAGCTGCGTTTCTGGACAACATTCAGATATGGCTTCTTTTTTGTATGTTAGAGCTTTAACCTGCATTTGTTGATGGCACAGTGAGCTGTGTTCACAGACAAGGGTTTTGGGAAGTGTTTCTGATCAAATGCAGTGATTTCATAACAAAACCGTGCCTGTTTCTAAAGCAACGCTGTCTCAGGGTCAAGCATCCTGTGCTGACTTTTGCTCACAAAGATTTCTCCATATTCTCTGAATCTTTTAATGATCTTATGTACTGTAGATGATGGCATATTTAAAGTGTTCATAATTTTATGATGACCAACATTATTCTGAAATTGTTTCACAATTTGAAAACATAGTTTTGCAGACAATGGAAGTTCTGCTCATCTTTACTTCAGAGAAACTCCCTCTTTAATATTTCTTATTATACCCAACCACATTCATTCCTTCTTGCCAGTTAACCTAATTAATTGCAGTTTGTTTCTCCATTAGTTTTTGTAGAACTACTTACATTTTTACTCCTATGTTGCCCCCTTCCAACTTTTTTCTGACGTGTTACTGCCATCGAATTCAAAATGAGCTGATATTTTTCATAAAATAGTAAAATCCCTCTATTTAAACATATAAATTCAAATTCAAATTTTATTTGTCACGTACACAGTCATACACAGTACGATATGTAGTGAAATGCAATAATATGAAATAATATATTACCTGTCTTCTATAGTGAAGAAAATATGGGTTTAGGAGATTTGCAAATTCTGTTTTTATTCACATTTCAGACAGCATTTCCAATTTTTTGCAATTTGGTTTGAAATATAAAAAAAAGTATAAGAACTGAAAGAGAACATAATCGATGTACCTTCATACCTTCCCTTATGTTGTGAACTATGTTCATTTTCTGTATGTCATTGCACACCTCCCTGTTGTCTATGTCCTTCTTTTTATTTTACTTCTTCTTCTTCTTCTGTTTTGTTTTTGAATTTTGAATGATTTTAGTACCTACCTTAAGCCTACATCCTTTGTGACAAGCACTGCTTAAGTTAAAAACAAGTTGTCAGGTACCAGAAGTGCAATCAAAGCTTCCCAATAAGTGGTACAAGAACAAGAAACATGGCTGTTGTTCAGAGTTCTCTTTGGGAAACCCCAGTCCTGTTCCAGAGGCCATCTGTACGCCACCCCCATATTTAAAACTATAAAAACTGCTAATTATACATAATCTACTGCGATAATACCATATCTAACATCTAATGTGACCTCTACATGTTACGCAGGAAACTACTACAATCAAGGAGCTCAGCGTAAAAAAGAACTTCTGAACAGCTGTGCCGTGTTGGGGATACCAGCGTCCAGAATCATCATCATAAACCACAAGTAAGAAGCCATCTACCCCAAGCATGCAACATAAAAATAAGAGTCATTCTGTTTTTTGCCTTTCACAATCAGGGAGTTTGTGCCACTAAATATACAGATGTGTGCGTTGTCCATTGATGTATGCTGCCCTCAATTAAGGAGTCAGGTCTCAGCATGTGTTCCTGCTGGAGCTCATCACCCCCTCCCTGCCAACCAGTGTCTATAAGAACGAATAAGAGAGTTGACCACAAATCACAACCCTCCCATTCTCACTGTGACAGCTCCGATGTAGCCTGACCTGATATATTACCTTTGTGTCACAGGGGAAATATATGAGTAGGCTCTGGAGGCAGCGATGGGTCAGCCCTGTGGGACAAAAGGCTCTTTAAAGACCTTAAAAATTCCATCACGGAATCAGTCTATTGATCCTTTTATCCATTTACAGCTTGTATATACAGATCTATTTAAATGTGCATCTTTGAAAGAGTCAAGTATTTATAGAACAAATTATCATTAAAGTATCTATTTCGTTACTTTTGAAAGTCTTTAGAAGAACATTTGCCTGTTTGTACACCCGGAGCAATCAATCAGCCTGTTTAAGCAGTCACAAAGGATTAGTTAGCGATCCCTGGGAAAAAATAACTGGGCAGACTGGGATGTCTGTACCGGAGCTGAAAGTATTTGTTGGAAGTTTTATCATGTTAGTTGCATGATGATATTTTTCTCCTGAATACGGAATTAAATTATATAAAATGGGACGCGACCTAAATAAAGCCCTTTATTCTTCAGTATTGTGTTCAAAACTTGACATTTATGTCAATTAAAGGTTTAGTGATGTGTACGAGGTGATCCTTTTAGTAATGCTAGTTCTACTGGAAAATCTATAAAAGTGTGTGTCTCGGGGATGCAGGGGTTAAAGAGAACTGTGTCACTCTTTGGTGCCACAACAATTTTCTTGCGGAAAGAAAGATGCCCGTGCATTCCAGTTTTGTTGCAGAAACACAGAACAGGTTATGCTACAGCTAAAAGCACAATAGAAGGTCAAGTTACACAGAAAAGGTAATGGTAAAGAGTATTGTTTTCCCCTCTCCTGTGGATCAACTGTGCAGCTTTTCTTGAAAATGTTGTGGTTTCTAAGAACATCAGGGCTGCCTACATGTGAGTGTCTCCATGTTGGCTCACCAGGAGAGCTGTATGAACTCTGCACTAACCTGGAACTCAGTTATAAGCTGGCAGACTGCCCAGGTTGTCTGCCCTGGAGAGTATTGTGTGTGTGTGTGTGTGTGTGTGTGTGTGTGTGTGTGTGTGTGTGTGTGTGTGTGTGTGTGTGTGTGTGTGTGTGTGTGTGTGCTTTTTTTGAACTCACATGCACACACTTCCCATTTTATCATCTTGTGCACACAAAATATAGCTGAACTTTGATCTTAGGGCTCTCTGCACTTCTGCTGAACTGGAGTGTGGCCCATTTTCCCTTTCTTTGTATTTTGTTGTTTGCCCAAAACACACACCTAATCAGCACTTTAAGAGCCTGAGTTCCACTCTCTGACAGTCAGCCTCTCTCGTGCTCTCTCGATCTATCCCACCCCTCCTCCTCTTGTCCATGTCTACTGAAGGCAACTGCCAAGGACTGTGGGATACATTTTGGCCACGCTCTAAGCACTGCTAATGTAGGTCATTCCAAAATGTTTTTCCCTTAGTGTGTCTGTACACAGCTAGCCAGTCTTTGGCTTTTTGCTCTTAACCCCCTCTGTTCAAGTTCAAAGTTTGAAATCTAACACACAATAGTCAAACAGTGCTCAATTACACAGGCAGTGCTGTCTTTTAGGCATAATCTCAGCAGGGATAGGGCTATGTAGCCATCAGATTTAGAGGCATTTTTCTACGATTTGAATAGGAGAATCAGTGTGCGTCTATTTGTGCACATCTTTTAGCCGCATTAAGCTTATAATGTTCACGTTTGCCTAATTTTATAATCTATTTTTTATACTGAGGTGTGTTTCTAATATTCATAAATATTGGATACTCATGTGAACGCATATATGTCATTGTAAATCTCACTAAAATAAAATTGTTTGGCGATCATTATGTGGTTTGTCAGATGGGTACTGGGAGTGATACTGATAGCTGATATTAAGCACCTGATCCCCTCCAAACAAGGAAGTAAGGGGGGAAGTGAGCAGAATGATTTATTTAATTGGTTGATTATTTTGGGCAGGTTTTAATAAGCGAATTCTTTTGTACATCAGTGTGTCATAAAAGTATGCATACTTGGGTTCAGCCTCTCAGTAATTTTTGAGCCTTTTTCACAAAGTTGTTGTGTTATATTGGAGAGGATTGGGAAAGATCCAAAGGATATAAAGAAATATTACAATTCTTCTGTTTTTGGTCCCTCCAGCTGTGAAACATTGATCCCATATGCTTTAGTCATTGGGGAAAATAGCTGATGTTTAGAGCCACAGAGTTTTTGTTGGGTTTTTGTTCGATGTGGCTCCTTTTGTAATGCAACCACTAACTAACTAACACTAAATAATGTGCTGACTGTACATAATAACCCCCACTGGTCACAGCAGATGGCTGCCCCTCCTCTGAGCCCGGTTCTTCCGGAGGTTTCTTCCTGTTAAAAGGGAGTTTTTCCTTCCCACTGTCGCCAAAGTGGGGCCTCCTGGTGGGCCACAACGGTACTGTAGGTGAGCTGTAGTTATATTTGGTGGTGATTTTGTGATATTACTCATTGCTCTGACCTAAATTTACTGCTCTTCTTTTGAAGTTTGTACCCCAGTGGCAGGTGAGTAACACTTTGCATGTGACTGGGTAGCTTTAGCAATTTTTAACCTACGGCCTCTGTTGTTTATGTATATTTGAATTACATTTTTTTAAGGAAATACATCACTCTCTCTTGTACTTTGATTAGAGTGAAGATTTAAGATTGGGTGGGCCCTGTTGGATTTTCTGCTTTTTAAGAAGGCCGTAGGATTGTGTTTTTTACATGTCAGATTTCGATGGTACTCACTCACAACTGTATCAGTGTTCTCCAAGATCACAGGAATAACATGCGCCTTCTTCTTTACATTATGATTTTCCCTTTAGTGCACACTGAATAGGACAGCTGTGTTGACAGTATCTAGGGGCCCCGGTGCATGTTGGGGCCTTTGTGATCAAGCTCAATCTGAGCACGCTCTGCTGCCTCTCCACTTGCTCCGGCATTACCTCTTTCTGCTCCCTGGAACTTGATTATAGCTGCTCGCTGCACAAATTCAGCCATTCTTCTTCTTCATGACATTATCTATCAGACTAAAGTGAAGTCTCACTCTGTCTGGCTTACCTCATTTCTTTGTGACTTCAATAATTGTACTTCCCTGTTAACATATTTCACGTGTACTCAGAAAGCTTCTCGCAGAAGTAAACAATCAACTAATAGCGTCTGTTGTCAATTGGATTAGTGTAGTTCTCTGTAGTCATGTAAACACAGAGCTCAGCACAAGTTTCAGGAAAGGAAAGTGGTACTCGCAAGCAGAGACAGCACATCCACACACAAGCATTAAATATACATTGATCAGTGGTTAAAAATAGTCCTGGCTGATTTATAAGCTCATGGCAGGGCCAAGTAAACCGTGATGAGATGTTCCAGCCCGAGTATAGCCAGAGGTCAGTACCTCTGGCTATACTTTTACTCAAGATTCATTTGTCAGCAGCACAGATCGGCCTCTGTGTAGTCACACTGTTAGTTTTCCATTCACCGAACCTTGCAGCCAACAACAAATTTTGAATTTTGTCACATTAAATCCCTCTTTTTCTGCACAAATTACTTCCAAAACAACAGTAAGATAATAATTTCCATGGTGAATAGCACACACCTATTCCATCATGGTTCTTTTTCTGCAAATAGTTAAATATGGGTAAATATTGGCCATACCTGCAGCCGCACATGTCTGTAAATTATCATGAAACGTCACGTGTAAGCTAGTGTTGTTACTATAGTTGTAACTGCCTTATTACACTGGCCAATTGTATTAGGGGCGTACAATTGGCGCGTAGTGGCATCTCAGCCATTCCCAGCAGGACATTTAATCTGACTGTGTGGACAGAAGTCTGGCAGTTGCATAGACCTGTGGTCCATGTGACCAGACTAAACAAGCCCTCCCTGACACACACACACACACACACACACACACACACACACAGACACACACACATAGAATCCCTTTAGTGGGCCAAAGTTCAACAACTGCATACAGATGCCTGCAAGCAATTAGACATCCACATGCAAAGCTGCAAAAGGGAGCTGGGGAGGTTACTTTAGGACATTTTGCACTGTTGCCATGGCAAAGCTGACACTCAGCCTACATCCTGCTTGAGAAAGGTCAGGTGTCTTTTATCTTTTGTTGTTCTTTTTTTTTTTTCTTCTCTCCTCCTTCCTCTCCCAGCTTTCGCACAGCTACAGTTATCGAGAGTCATTCAAAATGTTTTGAGTAATAAACAATTAAATGCAGCAGTGAGAATAATGCATCATGAATATCTCACTCTGGCTTTATTCTCTTTTAGCCCAAAGCAGGTCCATACACACTGCTCTTATTAAATGTAGGTCACTGGTATCCAAGTGCAAGAGTGGGGCATTCACTCGAAGACAGACAGTTTTAAACTATCTGTGAACCCCTAACCCTCTGTCCCTCCCTCTGATGACACAGTCAGCCCTCCAACCCAACCCCATCCTCCACCTCTTACAGCAGAGCCTGACCACTCGTTGCTCATTGTTAGCAATGAAGGGGAGGGACGCAGCTGCTGACACACAGCCGCACCTACCCCCATTCCATGCACGGTCTATATACAAGCCTGCAGCTAGTTGCCAAGGAGACAAACTATCAATCTCCAAATGTTCTGGATGGCTTTGGGTGCAAATTTTACCAGAGATGGGGCTTGGCCCAATTTAGAAGTGGTTAACTTATGGAGCTCCAGATTCAGGAATTCTTGGAATGTTTTTCAACTTTGCAAAATAGGTACATTTTTACTTTGTATCTTCACAAATACAATTAAAATGAAATAAGAAAAAATGTTACACAAATTTACACAATACATGGAAATCTGAATATTGGATTTGAGAACAATGTGTATGTATTTCACCTTCTTTCATCCTGTAAACAGACTCAAAAATGTTCATACTGGAGAATATGCAGGTGGCAAATGTTTGCTGTTTTTAACTTAAGAAATGTCGGCAACTGGCTCTACATACTTGCATGCATGCAGTCTCACATGTTCCACCCACATGTTAGCCCAAGTGTACAACAGTATGTCATGGCATTTATGTATCTCCCTATCTATACGTTTCCCTTGAAAGAAAAAACAACATCACTCTATAAACTGCTGTTCTAAATATTTTTGTTTCTTCCCTGACTTTGTACACGCACATGCCACAAGTTTACCTTGAGCTAGAAACATTTGTCAGATATTCTGGTCCATATCGGAATGACAGCATCACACAAGTGCTGCAGATTTGTCGATTGTACATCCAGGATGCAAATCTACCCTTCCACTACATCCCAAAGGTTTGACTGGGATCTGGTGACTGTGGAGGCCATTGAGTGCAGTGAACTCATTGTCAAGGTCATGATATGAGCTTTGTGGCATGTTGAGTTATCCTGCTGGAAGCAGCCAACAGGATAACTCAGAAAGGGATGGACGTGGTCAGCAACAAACACGGGTGGCCTTTGACGTTTCAACGATGCTCATGGGATGGTGGCGCTTATTGTGGTCTTCTGCTGCTGTAGCCCATCTGCTTCAAGATTCAACATGCAGCACATTCAGAGATGCTCATCTGCATACTATGGTTATTATGAGTGCTTATTTTAGTTACTGTTGCCTTCCTAGCAGCTTCAAACAATCTTCTAGCCATTCTGCTCTGACATCAACAAGAAATTTCACCCAGTGGACAACTGCTCACTGGATATTTTCTCTGATTATTCTTTGTAAACTGTAGAGATACTCATGCAGGACAAATAAGCCGTTTATGACCATCTGGCACCAACAACCGCGCCACGTTCAAAGTAACTAAAATCACATTTCTTTCCCATTCTGATGCTCAGTTTGAACTTCTGCAGGTCATCTTGGCCGTGTCTACAAGGTTAAATACACTGAGGGATCAGTTGATGAGATATTTATGTTAATGAGCAGGTGTACCTAATGCAGTGGCAAGTGAGTGTGTTTATATTGTGTTTCTTTTTTTCTCTGTCTCTCGAGTTTAGGACATTGAACAACCATAGAAAGCAGTGCTTCCGTTTTATAGCCTAAAGGGAGTGTGCATGTTAGTGGGCCAAGAGAGTCAGCAGGCCAAGTGTGATGTTTGTGGAAACGAGGGCCTCCAGGCGTTTCAGATATACACAATACTAAGGGCCTTCAGATCCATAACCTCTGTATTTCCCAGCGCTCCCACATGTTTGCATTCTACAACAGCCCTTTTTTTTTTAAATATAAAATGCTGTGTTAAATGTTCAAACTGTTTACAAAGCAGACACTGTATAACTCTGTTTTAATACTAACTGGATACATAACCGCAGTCCCTTTCTTCCTTTTTTTTTTTTTTTTGCCCTACAGAAAACTCCCAGATGATCCCAAAGCAGAATGGAGCGTCTCATTGGTCTCCTCTGAAATCCTGAAGCACATAAGAGCTCACTCCATCAACATGGTACGCCCCACTCTGTGTTTGGTTCGTGCCTTTCAAAGAAGTGGCTTTTGTGTCATTTCCTGTTCGGTGTCACCGCACAATTTCCCCGCCATTATATGTTAGAAATACATGTACTGTATTGTTTTCTTTGTACAATGTGTTTTGGCACCGCAGCTTCCTTGTTGATTATCCCAGTTTCACGGTGGTCTGCATAATAACCTTGTCAGCTGCCTTCCTTTTCAGTCCTAACTAGACTGCATTTTGAGGCTCCTTGAAGCCAGGGGGAAATGGCCTGTGCTCTGTGTGTATGCAGAGATTCTTATCATACTCAATGCAGTTCCGCACTATTAGTTAATGGGAATGATGTAAATTGAGAATTGGACAATTTCTTTCTCAGCAACAACAAAAATAGTCACAGAAAGCACAGCAGCAGTAATGGCGTGGGGTGGGGGTCTTCATGGTAGAAAATGGAGAAGCACGACTGAGTTATTCTGCTTTAGCTGCTGATCTTTTTTGGCTATCAAAGATGACAAACAAACAGGCAGTCTCCTCCCATCCTGTCACGCGTCACAGCCAAAAGCACCTTTAGTGAAAAAGTAACTTAAAGAGTCCTTTCAGTTGCAAAGAAAACATTTTCTCTAATGAATATAAGCAGGGGAAAGCGCAGAGGAAACAGACTTCCATTTCCTTTTTTTCCAACTGAATAATGTTGTTTCTTTGGTTGAAGTGTTTTTGCACTTAGATGCAAAGATCATGCGTTATTTATAACATATTGGTTTGGCTGCTTAAACTTGTGCTTGATTGCAAAGTCATGGTAGAATATCGCCTGAGCAGAGCAAACACTTCAAGTCTTTTAGTTGAGTTTTGTTCTCTTCCCTTTGACCTGATTTTTTTTTTTCACCTGTTTCCTCTGGTGCGCAAGCATGCATGCACAAAAAAGGCTTTTAAATATCAGTTGTCGGCTGCCAAAAAGCCTCCACAGTCACACACATAAACCTAAGAAAATCTTTCTTGCTGCCTTTGCCTCAGCTTCTAGATACCCAGACTCGGCTTTTCACCCACACAGTGACATATTTTGTTGTTTCAGGTGCTGACCTTCGATGGAAGCGGCGTGAGCGGCCATGCCAATCACATAGCTATCTATAACGCCGTCAGGTACAGGAAAGACTTTAAAGATTTTTGCCATCAGGAAAACCTTTTTATTTTATTTTTTCAGTTCCTTAACTTTAAGATACCATTTTGAGGGGATACTCTGTGACTTAAACACAGAAAGCAATTCACCCTGCTATCATTAAACACAATCCAGGAAAATGCTGAACATTTGGACCCACATCAACATCCATCGTTCCAAATGTTTCCCCACAAGTACACACACACACACACCATGTTTTTCAGAATTGGTCTGTTACATAGCTGAGAGGTCATCCAAACAGAGTCCTCAGAGGCACTCGGCTCTGCTCCCAGCGAGCAACAGTAAATCCTGTCCCTGAAGTGGTGAGGTGGGAGGGCAGCTTTGGTTTGGAGAGGCCGGCCAAGCAAGAAGTTGCATCAGACTGTTGGTTTGAAACCAAAAAAAAGAAAAGAAAAAGTGTTTTGCACACTGAAGAGAACATCGTAGTCCCTGTACCACACTTACCTGTCTGTGCAGTGAGCCGTGCTCTTTTCTCTCATAAGGCTCGCTGTTCATTTGTGGGCCTTAATGAGATTTGTGCTCTCCAGATCGAATCTGGAAATTCCCATTTGACTGGAACACAAAAGGGGGAGAGGCTGAGTGCGAGTTTCACAGCCTCTAAATCTTGACAGTGTGCTGTCATTTTCTGTCAGCGTGTTAATAACCATTGCATAAAAAAATGCAAGTGCAGGTAAACTTCCAAAAACCTCCCAGCATTTGATATATCCTTCGACACACACACACGCAGAGTGGCCACTTCCATGACATTTTCTGTGTGCAGCACTGATGTTCACTATTTTGTCTTACAGGCATCTCGCTTCCACTGGAGAAGTACCCAATGGTAGGTTTGACACTGGGAGAACTTTTAAGAGGTTTCTAAGCTCAGGAGCGTTAGATTCACTGATCACTCTCAGAACAGTCGTCTGTAAAAGTAATTCTTGGGGTACTTTATCCTGCTTACAGTACAGTATGCTTGTTGTGAATATGTTCATCACCATGAAAGCTTTAGGTAGCACTTTATATTAAAATGCAAAGTTCTTTCACAGGAGAAACGCCACCTCTCCAGCTGCGTTTTTGCAGAGAACCATGCAAAGTACACTGGCTGGTTTGTTAATGTACAGCGCCCTCTACTGTTCATAAAAGCCCCATGAGCATTGTATCTCCACTAAAGGCGCTGGTCTGTTGGTGGCAGCAGGCAGAATGAATTGGACCTAAACTCTAAATGTGATAAGAATGTACCATCAAACTTCTGAAGACTTGTTGACCGCAGATATTAGAATGTCTTTTGTGTTTCTTTAAGAGGAATCTTTTTTTTTCTTTTTTTTTTTTAAAGGAATTTCCAAAATGACTAAATTTTCACTTTGTTTTTCTAAGTTCTCATGGTGATGAATTCTGGGAATTCTTTCTAACAGAATGTAGAAGGAAAAGTAGGTCAGTGAGGTGGGGGGCCATGCTACACAACCTTATTTGCTTATCTGATAAACATTACAGCCCACAGGCCATATCAAAGCATACATATTTGAGGAGAGAGGTGATAAGAAACAGACATTCAGGTAATCATGAACCCACACCATAAACACAAACACACTTGTTTCTGTGGTAGAAGCTCGTCAATCCGCTTTGCCCACATGAGCTCAGTGGATGATCTTGACCAGCAGCATGCCATTAACTGTGGTTCTTTGTTAGTAGGAATTTACACCTCAGCTGTTAGACTAGTCTTACAGTAAAGGGGAAGTAGATGAGAATTCAGAGTGACATTAATCCTCGTCACTCAGCTGTAAAACAAAGCTCCCTGCTCTTTTCCTAAACCTCTAAGGTTCACGTGTTTCTGCCACAAGACAATAACTGAAAGAAGTACTGACAGTTTGTGTTTTTGTGTAGCATAGCAGTACCAGGCATTCTCACTTCAAACGAACTGTATCACAAACAATGACGTTGTGCTGGCGTGGCACCTGGACGATGGCCTCGTTAACTGTATGCTTCTGAAATAAGCATTTAAAAACATTAACAGCTCTGTCTTTTCTCCCAGACTGCACTTTGCTCTCCCTGGTGACCGTTGGCCTTCTCAGGAAGTACATCTCCTTCCTGGATGTTCCCCTCAGCTGGTTTCTGCCCTCGTGTGTCTGCTGTATTATAGGCTCAAAGCCCTACAAGCAAGCCAAAGTAAGCCTCCAACTAGAGACTGTGTGTTGGCAGGACTTTATGTTCTCTACTCTGAGAAGTGCACACTCTAATAAGATCATGTACAGTCTACACTAACACTCAAACTGTCCCTGTTTTTGAAGGAAAAGTACATTTGTTAATTATCTGTTATCATTTCCAACAGTTTCATTTTATCTAACATGAAACTGTTGGAAATGTTTTCATGTTATATTAGATAACATGACACTGCTGTTAATGTGACTGAGGGGAGAATGGACCGAGAGATCGACAGGCAGATTGTCTGCTGTGATCCACGCACTGTAGTCATCTGTAGTGGTGACAAAAGAGCAAACCTGTTGATTTATCGATTGATCTACAACCGCGAGCTCTCAGTATTGACCAAAAGAATGAGATCGCAGATACGAGCTGCAGAGATGAACATCCTCTAAAGGGTGGCTGGACTCTTTCTCAGAGGTAGAGCGAGAAGTGCGAGTTGTATTATCTCCCTTAAAAACAACTTTGTGTCTTTTTCAGGCTGCCATGCTGTGCCATCGCACTCAGCTGCTGTGGTTTCGTTACCTCTACATCACGTTCTCACGCTACATGTTCATAAACACATTCCAAACCATTGCTCAGGGACCAAAGAACCTGAAGATCTATTAAAAGCTCTGATGCACTGATTGCCACATTTCTTACACTACAGGGAATTTAGAAGCTGTTTACAAATGTCTTTGATACTCTGTTAACAGCAGTAGGTGATATGCATTTTTCTTAAACACTGTTATTTTTTAGATAATATTTAATAATAGAAGAAACTTCTCATCCTTTTTTGTTACAGAAAAACTTTTATTGACTCAGTCACAACACTGTATTAAAATATAGAGTATTTAAGCTTTTCCAAGGGGTTATGACTTTTTTTTATTACTTTAAAGACCAATGAAAGTACTGTTGAATGTTTCTGATGTCATGCTGATTGAAAAATAAAGTTTCTTATATGACAATAGCGTTAGTTTTCCTCTGGTTTTGACATGTCTCTGATAGTTTCGTGAACTTGCATACTTTCTTCCCACTTCTCCCCACAAAAGTTCTCCACTGTGACACTGTGCACAGTACCTGGATCCAGACAATGTGGAGCAATGCCTAATTGAGATGAAGACATGAATAACAGAAGGTTGTCATTTGATTTGCATTCAAATCCCACTGTGAACATACAGTTTCTGTTTGCTACAAATAGCATAAAAACATGACATTAAAGAGACAACTGGGTTGGTTGGTGTGGAGTAAACATTAGCGGGGTGTTGAATTCTGTTTACAACACATGAGACCGAGTGTGTCGGTGAGTTGTCAGGGTCATACCATATCCGTCTGGGTTGGAGCGTGGTGTGTAGAAACTTTGAACTCCACAGGTTTTACAGAAGGTGTGTTTTGCAACATGAGTGTTAAATGTGTACGTGGTCAGATTTTCCAAACCCTAAGAATGGAAAAAAACAAAACAAAGTATGCTAAAATTCAATGTCAATTTTAAATATCCAGGATTGTAGAAGTCTTGGGTCAACCCTAATTTTGCTAGGTGCAGTAATTAATTTTAATATATGTGCAAACATACATTGAAATACAGTATATAAGGCAAAAGTAGATTTGAATGAAAGTCAGTATTTGGTATAGCCACCTTTATTCTTCCACACAGCCTGAATTCTTCCAGACGAACTGTCCTGTAATTTATTTAAATAGTGTTCAGGAAAAATTGTCTGGGATTGTTTTTTAGGAACATGACTTTCAGATACTGCTCATCTGCTGGAGACAGGCCTGCCAGTCATTCTTTTGTCCTCCACCTTACAGTTTCCTCAGTTTTTTTTAAGGCCAAGATATTCCATGTTTTTAGCTAACAGCTTGAGTCAGGTGCTATTTTATGCTTGAATGATTCATAGATTCATAAGCCATAAGTGGCTTCACGAATAATTAATTCCGGCTTTTTGACAACCTTCAGAAAGCCTGAAGAATTAATGGTTAAGACCACTTTGAAAAATTATAGAAGAGTCTGGCTCCTTTGGAAGCGATACATAAAAAATAAGGGTGCCTCTAGACTTTTGCACAGTACTGTATATTGAATAAAACAATGCGTTTCAAGCAAAGTTCCTTACCTGTAAGAGCGTGAAGCGATTTTTTGGCACAATGAAATGATGATTTTGCTTCTTTGTGCAAATGCTGCAACTGGAGAGAACATATCAGTTCATATGGATTAAAGTGTACGTTGTTGTTTGAAATGCCTTCAACATGGCATGAATAAGATATTTGAACGTTTAGGCTATGTTCCAGAATTACTACCTAGTTTCTATCACTGAATTAATTGTTCATACTTGCAATGAAAAACATGGAGGTCTGGGGAATTCCAGACTTCAAATCGCACAGCCCCACAGTGGCAGCCACCTGTATGTTTCACCAGGTCCATGCTGTAATTGAATCAGTATAAATACATTTACAGTGAGATTTGGTAAGGATTCACCTTTTTAAGCCACGTGAAGGAAAATGCTAGAATGTCTCTATCCAAGTCTTACGTAAAGTTCCGGTTGAAAGGGTGTCACATGTTAGTTGTGAAACTTGCTGACGTGGCGCTCCCAATCAAAAGTTCCAGTCATCCTGCCATGGAAAACAATGAACCTGATTAAAGTGCAGCTCTGATAAGAACCACATTTGAACTGATAAAGAACCTTTTACCTACAGAAGCTAAGCTTTTGATTCAAACACAGCAACTCATGTGCTCATTTTATATTTAAAATAAAAGTCAGATTTCTTGTTTTTCCAAGGTGTGAACATGTTGATTCCATGTTAACCAGACCTACTTCCTGCTTGCAATCTTTTCCTGGAACACTTTGAGATAGTCCACATAACAAAGGGCAGGGCGAGGTACAGCAGGCTTGCACAAACACATTCCTCAGAGGCAGAACTAGATCAGCCAGATGCCCTGCTCTGTGTTGGAAAGCAAAGGCGTGGTGCATCAGGAGTTGGGTTTCATATGACACAGTGCCAGAGGGGTGGGCTAACAGAATGCTGTGACCCAAATACATATTTTATTTGAATCAGGGCTCTCAGAGCTGCATTATAGCCAAACTCCCAAAAATAGAAACCCACAAGGCCCCATGAGCCCAAGCTGATTTAGTTTACAGTGCTACCTTAAATAGTGGTGGGTGCTAAAAGTGGGCACTGATCAGTAATTACAGTCCTGGAAATAAACTTTGGAAACCAGGAAATACAAAAAATTAGATGCTCTAAACAGATAGATCACTTAATGACCTGCAGTCATTCCCTACAATGTTCAATCTGACTTTACCTTGTTGGAATGTTCTAGTTTCAACTGCGTGTTGACAACATGCCGAAACTAGATGAACTCGTGTTTTCTTGATATTGCTCATGGAAATAAAATGAAGAGATGTCATATTACCTGAGGGACTTACAAAGTAGGTGTAAGCATTACACTAAAGCTGTTAGAACTGTTCAGCCCAAGCCACAAAGATAACAATATGTCTGTGAGGCCTGAATAAGTTTATTATACTCTATGAGGAAACTAATTGTTTATCATTTTGTTCAGCAATGTAGATAATGCAGTTGAATTTCTACCCCCCATACAGGTTTATCTCTCCAGTGGAGACTTGACAATGACCTGTCTGTGCATGTGCATCATGAGACTAAAGAGAAACATACTAGTCATGCTTTTACTTTATAGTAACTTTTATGTGCATATTTTCACTGATAACAACTAGATTCAAATAAACCAAGCTAGCATTTGAATAAGCTACTTAATTTTAAGTTACACAGTAACAGATCCCTATAAGTTGGCAACACAGCAAATAAGCACATCAGGTCTGCTAAACCTGCTTATCATCAACGTTAGGTGTGCATATACTGTGCATCTATGCATACACGGTGTGCCCATAATCAGTATTTTGTACTGATGTCCTGACTATTCATCATTAACGCATTCTTTTTAGATGCGCAGTGTAATAAGGATGGCTTGCTAAAAAAAAAAAATGAGGTCGGCCATAGAGGCGAACTTCCGCCTTAAAATATCCCGCTGTCGCGTCAGCTGCTATTACATTTACTAAGCGCGTTGCCATCTGTTAAAGGTTGAAATATCTGATAGAGATGAACACACTTCCTGAGTGTATGTCAGTCTTCGGTATGTTAGTCATACGAATAGTCATTCTGACATGGCGAACTCTTATTTTTCAATCTATATCCATGACGCGACGCTTGAATGTGACACGTAGCCTATACTTCTATAGCCTAAAATATATATAATGGTTTGTCGATTTAGGTCACGTTTAAGCTCCTTTTTTAACTGTATTGTCATAGCCAGTCATTGGACATAACCATAACTTTATCGTGAAATGTTACTTACTGTAACACAGCAACCAATCGCTGATCAAACAAACAACTGTGTCATCCAATCTGCTTGGGGAAGATTCCCGTTGCTGTGCTGGTTCGAGCAAATTCCAGAGTCGTAGTGCATAGATATCATTCCGCGGTGGAGGATTTATGAGTGCATTCTTTCAAACGTAATAGCTTCGACTTTGAAATATTACGTTTATGAGTAAAATAATTAAATATATATATATTATTGTAGAACTAAGTTATAAATAATGGACTTATAAATATTGAAGCAAGTGACTTTTGGGAGGGTGGGAACTACTTATTGACGCGGATGGAGATTTCTGGATGACGTGTGCACCTCCATACTATATAACACACTGCTAGACATTGCTCCCGCAGACCTACCTACGTGAAAGAAAAGAGAAAGACAATTTCGTGCCTCAGAGCAGTTTTTTCGCCTCACTTACCAGTCGTAAGTATTTTCCTATTTCTATATCTTTTGATATTCCAGAAAAGTTTGTTTTTAATAAATATGTTGCATTAGTATCATTGTGTTGAACGATATTTGGGTTGCGCTAACGAGAGGTAACAAAGGTCTCCAAAATACAGTAGTCCTTCCGAATTATATTTTTCTCTTATATAAAGTTAATACGTATTTCGTCGTCGTTCCATTGTCGATTTTCTTTCTTTTTACTACCCTTTTGTTACGCAGCAGCGTTTTGGTAACGTTCGCTTACAGCAGTGACTCAACATTTCCAGTAACCTCCATTACCGGCTGCTGAACAAAAGGAAGGTCACTGAGATCTCAAAATGGCGCTTGGGCTGAAATGGCTCCTGTTGTTCTCATTCTTAGGCGCTTCATAGTAATATTATTTAATACTTTTTTTCTTTTTTTTTAAAGAATTTCTTTTTTAATCCATATTTGAGCTTAAACTTAAAGTAATGTAATTTCTAATGCATTTATATATTTTTTTGGGGGGAGGGGGGGGTAAAGAGCTTTTTAATCAATAATTCATCTTTATCTATTTATTCATATTTATCTGATTTTGTGTGTGTGTGTGTGTGTGTTGGAGTAATGTGGAATGTTTTAAATTGCTTTTAATTCTCAATTAATATCCATCAAATTTTATACAGGCGCAAACATGCAGATCTTTGTGAAAACGCTCACTGGCAAGACCATCACCCTTGAGGTTGAGCCCAGCGACACCATCGAGAACGTGAAGGCCAAAATCCAGGACAAGGAAGGCATTCCCCCTGACCAGCAGAGGCTGATCTTTGC